ATATATATGCATTTCATTCTCATCACTTGTGCTTGATTCTTCTCTTAATGCTTATATCGGTTTGATCACCTATTGTATGATTTTTATTTTTTGAATCCGGTTGAAAAACGTGTTTGAAAACCCGAACTGAAACTTGCACCTAAACTTCTCTTGTTCTAGGAATAGACTTGATTTGTTTAGTCACCCTGTTCAAGTCATTATTCTTAATGCAAAGTGTTAATCTCAAAGCATAGAGGAATCATGTTTTAGATTAATTACTTTAGGATTCAACTTTGAGAGATCTTATTGAATTACAAAATGAACGTGGAAGTCATGAAATTGAAATCATATTTATTTTAAGAAGATTTAAGAGTTAGCAAGTGGTCTTGAGTCCAATCCTTGCTTCTTAGAAATGTTGTTATAAATTTTACATTATCGTTCTATTTTACTTCACATTAATTTACTTTCAATCATATCAATGTCTCTTATTGGATCATTAGAGTAAGAATTACTAAATTCTCAATTCCGGGAGGACAATACTTAAATACTACATCGAAAATTGGTCCGCTTGCCAAGTGGAGTGTTCTCAAAACCTCATCAAACATTTTAAAAAATGAATTACCACTTGAAAATTCGTATCCAAACATACTCCAAAGAATATTTAATTTGATCTAACACTATCTTTTTTAGTAAAAATATAAAAAAAATACAAAATGGTCATAATGACAATTGAATCTAACTCCCCATATTTCTAACTATCTAAAAAAATATTCAATTTGATATAACACTACCTTTAAAAAAAATAAAAAAGGATAAATCGATGACAAAAATATTCCTATTTGGGCGTGAGTCACTTCCCCACTCAAGAGCAGCCTAATCAATCTTGAAATCGGAAGCCATTATTTGGTTCCACGCGCATTTACAACGAAATTTCAGCTTCCATGAAAACTAAAAGCGATCTCAAAGGCTTTCAAAAACATTGTACCTTCAACCCAACGCGCATTCGCAAACTACAAATCCTACACCCCACAAACTGAACCGCCATAACTACCAAACTGGTTGACTCGTTTCACGCGCCTATGATTCTCTTCACATCGAAAATGCCAATATTTTATCAACTTGACCAAACATTTATGTGGTTCCTTTGACTGTTCAAATGATATTTTTTTTAAGGGAATTGCTACACAGATTTGAGGGGTTTCAATACATTTTTCTATGTAAACTCATAAAAGATTTAAAAAAAATTAATTTAATTATAAAATGAATAATCTAAATTATACTTATAAAATAAAAAGTAAGATAAAATTATAGAAATTAAAACTATAAATTTCAATAATATTATAAAATATTAAAAAAAAAAAAAATAAATAAATAAAAAAATAA